TGCTTTATAGTTTAGAAATCCCATTTTTACTGTTTTTAAAGAAGGACTTGTTTTTTAAAGCATAATCCAAAATACTTAGGACTGATAACCTCTTGGTCCTAAAACACTGAATCAAATTAGAATTTATATTACAATTCTCTTTTTTATTATTATTTATGCCTACAGCACCTGGTCTTCCTAGGTGGTCTCCCATCCAAGTACTAACCAGGCTCGACCTTGCTTAGCTTCCAAGATCAGACATCGGGCTTGTTCAGGGTGGCATGGCTGTAGATAATGGACTGTGGCTCCCCTGGAGCAGGACCTGCTGTGTGTAAAGTAGATGTGCTAACGGCTACACCATATTACAGTTCTCTTCTTGGTTATTGGTATTTGTTTGAACTACTACCATCAGAACTGCTCGATAGAGTATGTGAGCCACATATGTAATTTAAAATTTTCTAACAGCCATATTTTAAAAAGTTAAAAAGAGGTGAAATTAATTTTGGTAATATACTTTGTTTAACCAGATATATCCAAATTACTATCATGTCAATATGTAATCAATGTTAAAAATTAAGACATTTTACTTTTTTTTTGCACTATGTCTTTGAAATTCAGAGTGTACTTTACACTTAGAACACATGTCAGTTTTGACTAGTCACATTTGAAATCCCCCCAAACTATCAGCTACTGTACCAGCTAGTGGCTACTGTATAGGACAGCACAGCTCTAGATAATTCTGGGAGAATTCTTCATATCTAGGAAAACTGCCTTTCATATCTAAGAAAACTAATTTCAGGTTTTTTGTTTTTGTTTTTTAGCTAGATGTGATTATGGTTAACTCCTTTTGCAGTAACACCTCAATTAACTTCCCTAAAGATAAAGGAGGAGTGGATTGAAGCAAGAAGAGCTCAAAACTCAGTGAATTCTTTAAAAGGCAGCTTTTATCTGTCTAAAAATACCTCTAGAGAGGAAGCCAAAATAGGTATTATCTCTGCCTTCTCACTCTATAAGGAGAGTACAGATTTCACTTGCTGCCTCCTCTTTCATGAATTTCTTCCTATATTCATCTAGGAGACCTCAGTTTTCTGACTCAGGAAGTGGCTAAAGCAAAAATATCTGACCTGTTTCTTTTTCAGTGCCAAATATACTGTCTCCAGGGATAAGCCAGGAACCTGACCTCAGGCATGATAGTATTCAGAGTTGTCTACAAAGCATCAATACCCCCTGTGCAGAAAGGGCTAGAGAAAGTTTTACCAGAGAGAGGAGAAACACATAAGGCTTCTGATTATCTGGAGCTTACTAAGAGTTGGATTCTTAGATAAGGGCAGAGTCATGTGACCATCTTTTTCAATCTTGCTCTGCTGGATCTACAAACCAGATTTAATTCTATGATTTACAATTCGATAATACCCAACAGAACACCTTCAGGGATGCAGTGGAACGGGCAGTCTCCCTTACAGCCTAAGTCAGCAGCTATGTCCATTCTTCCCAAAGTCTTTCTCTCCTGTTTGGAAGACCTCCTAATATTGGGTCACGATGCAGTGACATAACATAGATCTGGGAGTGGGAGCAGCAGACCTGTCAGGAAGAGGAAAAAAGTTCTTCCTCTTCTTAGCAAAAGTGGGGGAGAACAGGAAAAAAGGGCAGCGGAGGTAGCAAGGTTTACAAGAGGAAGATGAAATGAGTGGTTATGAAACGTACACACAAAAAAATGAGTCACTACACTTGTTGCCAGTTACAAGACAGGCCACTAAGTGAGTCCATTCAGTCCCCAGGGAGAGAGCATGGTACTGAGAAGGCTCTTTAGACACCCAAGTGAGGTTGCCTTAGAAGTAACGAGAGAGAAGAGCGGCCAAGGAGAGCTCTAATCTATCTCTTGTATAATTCACAAAACAAATTTCTTCCGGCAATATAAAGCTCCTATTGTAATGCCATATTCAAAATAAATGAGCCTATATCATTTTGATGGTGTCAATATTAAGTCTCAAGCTCCTATTCGATCCTAAGGAATAAGTGCTCAAGGGACTAGATATTAAATTTCAAAAAATTTTATCTTAAAGATTCAATTTAAGTAAGACATAGCAGATCTAGCTTGAACCATTCTTTCCCTTAGGTCTCAATGATCAACATGATATTAAAAAGGAATTATAATTTTGCCCCTCTCAATCAAGCCAAACATCTATTTCAAGCTGAAGATTTAGATTCTGGTTACTCCTCCCATCATCTGAGTAGATGAGGGTGGACCTTTCTCAAATAGCAAGTATTTACTGACCATATGCTACACCCAACACATTTTTGCAAGGTGCAGGACATCATAATGCAAATAGTCAGCAGAGGCCCACAAAAGAAAGCCACTGTTCTTCAGTAGGTAATTTTCTCCTATCTGCAGTTCTTTAGCAAAATCGTTAGCTAGATATAAACACTTTACTTATGGTTTGATAGCTTTTCAAGTCATCCCTATTAGATAAGGTTGCAGTTCTCCAGGGAATGTGGGAACTTAAAACATAAATGCTCATTGGGGTTGATGACAAGGAAAAGAAAGTGAGACCAAATTGTAAACTCTATATTTATTCTTTAGGAGAGTCTTAAAACATCACAAATAGATACAGTTTATCAAAGGGCATAGTGTAAGATTCATTAAAATATGCAGGACAATTTGAAACAAAAAGAATGTAAAGTTCAAGTCAAACACATTAAGTAACCAAGAATAAGATGGGCATGGATTTGTTCTCCAAATCCCAGAATATCAGGAACAGGAGGTTAAATCTTAACCCTTGAAAGGGAGTTTAGGAACAGGAAAAAGATGGCAACATTATACAGAGGCAAGGGCTGGGGAAAATTATCTGGATCTTGGTTCTAGCTCTTCCCCCAGGTGAGTATGCAAACTTCGAAAAGCTGCAGGGATATTTCTGCAGCAATATTTCTGAAATATCTTTTATTAAATTCTAAGAGTGGCTTCTATTACCTTTATGGAAGATCAGTGCAACAAGAGAAGAACTGGTGATCCAGCAGTCAATTTTATTGCTAACTAAAGTAGTAGGTCTTAAAGAGAAACAAAATAGCGAGACTGCTTCTAGGGTTAAACTTTCCTAAGATCAAACATGAGATGTACAAGGTACTGTTCTTACTAGCCAAGATATATCATACCAGAATGCTTTCAGCTCAGTATTCCCATCCACCCCTACTCCCCTGACACTGGAGCACCATAGAAACATTCAGATAGAATTCCCACAGGTAAAGGATCTTTTCCAGTGGCTCTGCCAGGGGATATATAATCTTAAATTATCTGGGGGAGCTCTTTGGTAATCTGAAGATATATGTATGTTTATATAAAATGAGTGTTTATAAGCAACAAGTTACTTCATCTTATCACTAACGTGGAGAAATTTCCATATTTATTGGCATATATTTATATGAGAAGCATATAAATATATCAGAGTATGCTTTCATCAGAATTTTTTCCTGAGACAATGAACTTTTTTTTTGGTCTTGAATTGTGTATTTTCCTTTTTAGTCCTTACTTTGTCTTGCTTTTTTTTCAATCTTCATATATAGATGCTAAGGTAAACAGTACCTGGATCAAGGTTACCCCTGAGAGACAAGTGGTTTGTGTTTCCACCCCAGTAATATTAATACAATGACTATACTTTAAAAACTGCAGCACTAAATTCCCAAGGATCCACAAAAGGCATTTAGATTTTGGGGTTTCATTTGCTTCAGTTAAAAGCATCTTTATTTTTGTACCTGAAGTCCGTCAGAGCATTCTGATGACAATATACAAACACTGTGGATGAATGACCAGCTAGCTACACATAACAAATATTATTTAAAAAAGATTGTCAGAAATAGTAGGCAAATCAAAGAACTAATCCAAAACAGATAGTATTAATTTTTCTTAGAGGAACAGATTGTTTTATCTGCAAGGAATTTTCACCTTAGCGAATTCCTGCTCTAGATAAAGGCCAACCGTTTCCTGCTCTAGATAAAGGCCAAACGAACAAAGGATGTCAAAGTGCCACCCTCATTACCTGAGACCTATTGGAAAGAAGTCTCCTTTCCGGAGTGAGTACGCTTGATCAAAATCACCCACAAGTCCACATTATCCACAAAATCACCACATCGAGTCCTTAGTGAATATCTTTATCTTAAACGGTAGATACGATCCAGTCACTCAAAGAAAGATGAAATCATTTTTCCCAACAGCACGGGGAGGGACAAAGTATGTTGTGATTCTGTTAAACTCACAAGTTTGGCTCAATGCAGCCGTTCTCTAATGAGCCCTAGGGCTCTCCATCCTTTGCAGATGACCACTCCTCCTTCCATCTCAGGCCTCCAAGGCCCGTTCTGCAACTAATCTGACACCTTTCCATATTTTGGAACCCGCAGGCTCCACCACACCACACTCCTACCAGATTTCTACTCTCAAACGGGCTCTGGGGGAATTTTATTTAATCACACATACATACGCGTGCGCGTCTATGAGCTGACAAACCAAGTCTTAGGGCCTAACTAATCCTGTTTCCCTCAACTCTCAAAACTCACAAATCTTTGATTCCCGTGAATCCACTCCTCTGGTTGGAACGTCTGTCTGGTGGTGACCCCTCAGCTTCCACGGCCCCAACTAGCTCGGGTTCTCGTGGCCCTTTCCTGTTCCTCGCTTGAGGTTCTGGGCCACAGCTCACACTCAACCTGTTTCCTCGTCTGCAAAATCCTTGGAGGTTGAGAGGAGGCCTATAAGACCCCCGCCCCGCAAACGACCTCCGGGATCTAAAATTGAATGGGCCCAGCTTCCCTCTCGACTCTCACTCTTTCATTGTCCACGCCCAGACTGTCTTTGCTTAGGCTCCACGACCACTTCGGCCACCCTCCGTGCGCCCCGCGCGGCGGCCCAGGCTCCCCCGGCCCCCCGCTTTCGGGCTTCCCCAGCAGGTCTGCTTCCGGTCCTTGGCCTCTCCCCTGCAGCAGCTCCACCGGCCTGCGCCCCCGGCCCTCCGCGCCGCTCGTTCGCAGGCTCTCACCGCTCGAAAAGCAGCCTCACAGAGAATATGCCCGCCGCCAGTGGGAACACCGAGAGGATGTGCCGGGCCCGCGGGTAGCCGTAGCCGTCGCCCGGCCCCTCGAGGTCCGCCCAGCTCACGTTCTGGGGCATCCAGAAGCGTTCGCTCCACAGCCAGCCCCACAGCAGGCCCAGGGCGCCCGCCGCCGCTGTCGCCATCTTACGCCCGCCCCGCGGCCACCGCCGCCACAGCCTCAGCTGCCGCCGCAGCAGCCAACGGAACCCGCGGTGGGGCGGCCCCGGGGCGGGGTCGAACCGGCGGCCACCCCCTTTCCGGCCCCTTCTTGTCCCCGGCACGTCTCAGCCGCCCGCTCCGCTGGGCCGCGCCTCTTCACCGCCCATCTCGCCTCCCCGCCCACCTCACTCATAGCAGATTCCCGGGCCACCTCGTTTTGGGACTCCGCCCTCCGGCCCTGGCTACGCACCTTCCCGAGCCTCCCACTCCGCCCCAGCCCCGCCTCCGGCCAGCCTTGGCTCCACCCCCACAGGCCTCGCAACTCTGGTCCCGCCCTTTTTTGCTGCCGGTTTCGGCCAAGCTTCTCTTCTCTTTCTCTCTCGCCGGTCCAACTACGGCCACACCCCTTATTTCAGGCCTAGCTCCCTTATGCAAACGTTCCTCTTCCTCAGTCTAGGACGTTCAAAGCTGCTCCCGGCTCCCAGGCAGGCCATACCCATCTCTCTACTCCCAACCCCTCTCACTAGGGCTTATCTCACCACCTCAGCTGATCCCACCTACTTCTCTCCACCACCAGAGGCTAACTCGAATGGTCTTAAGAAAGATTCAAAGAACTAAATCTCTGCCTCTTGTCTAAGGACAGATAAAGTAATTCTTTAGTATGGCATGCTTACTCAGAAGTTAAAGAGTTCAAAGAGAGGAAAAAGGAAAAAAATAGCAGCCATTCTAAGGAGTAGACTAGGTTTGCTTTTCAGCTCAGTGGTTCTCAAACTTTAGTGTGTCCCAGCTCAGGCATTAACTTGTCTCATCTTTTACATGGAGAGGTTGTTAACTTTCCTGGAGGTTCAGGGTAGGGCCAATGATTTGCATTTCTCATTTCTAATTCATAGATGATGCCTTTGCTGCTGGCCTGAGAACCACTACCTGTAACCATTTTCGTCCAAACCTAGCAACAGCTTAGAGGTAACTACCCTAATATTCAAGATACAATGTAAAAGTAGTACACTCCCCCTGATTCCATGGGAATTCAAATCAGAGCCCCAAAGAACAGAATATGCTAACTTGGCATGCAGCAATCAACACACAATGATCTTGGTCTCAGAATCTATCCCCAGAAAAACACATTTGTATCATTTCTCGACCTCTTGGCTGTTATAAAACGTTACTGACAAAGCAAACGTGGTGCAGCTTTCATTCTGGCCAGGAGTGATCCCACCAGCAAGCTAGTGGAACTTAGTTGGGTCTGTAGCAGTTATGAAGAGTCTCCTTACCTAACTCAGATCCCAAGTTTGTCCCTTTTCCTGCTTCACCAATGAAAAACATCATCCTATTGCCACTAGTGACATACCAAGTCCAAACAAGTTGCCTTTATTCAGAAAAGCCAAGAGAATAAATAATAAACATTTTTTTTGTATGGCTGTCATTTTTTTTGTTTTCTAAAAATGTTTATTGTTATTTGGTCATTCTCTGAAAGGACATCCTTTTATTATATTGAAATGGAGCCAATCCTGTTTCTACACTCGGTTCTTATGTCTATATTAGCCCTTGAAAGGCTTAAAAAAGGGTTCTCCAAAATGTAATCTCAGTTCCCATGTATTTGATAATATGGCGACATACTCAACTGATATTCATAAATGTCAGCCACAGGCATTCGGACTTTATTTGAATAAACTCAGCTATTGTATCATGTGGATGGGTTAGAGTAGTAGTGAGTCACAAGTAAAGTTAACTAAATTCAAGCCAGGACTGGATATTTTTACGAATGTCAGCAGGAGCTTCTGGATAATTGTTCAGTGAACAAGGCTTTCTAAATGACTTTAGCCTGTGGTGGGGCCAAGAGCAGAAGATAGTATCCTGCCATTCATTTAGAAGACCAGGCAAGATCCTAGAACAATCAGCGCCCCTGTAAAATATAACAGATAACTCAAAAATCATGCCTATCTCCAAGGAAATCCATACTCCCATTAAAAAGAAAAAAAAAAAGAAAACTAAAAGCTTTAACATTTGGGGCAGTTGCCTCTACAGGCAAGGAAATCAACCAACTATACCTCTGCGCAGAGTGGAAAACAAGTCCATTCTTAGCAGAAGCATTTGGAAATTCCATTTGGCATGTTAGGCATAACTGTAAGGTAAATTATTAAATGTTGAATACAATTAACAATAAAAAACCACCACTGAATTTTGAATTGGTAAAACAAACGGCTCATTTTGAATGTACACACTAATTCTCTTGCCAAGTTGCTCTCAATTTTCAAGAAAAATTTGTCTTCCTTCAGGAAGGATAAAGCCCCAAATCACCCCAACACCACCACCTAGTGGTGAGATATATTCATAGTCCTTCACTTTAAACCACATCAGATAGTTTTCTGCCCAAACTGCTAAGGTAAAAAAGTAGATCCTGAGAGACTGTAACAATGTAAAATAATAATGGAAAAGGAACATTGAAAAGTTCAAATGTAAATTAAAAGCTTTATTGAATAAAAATGTTTCAGACTAAGCAAGATTGTAAGAAAGCAGAATATTTTACATCTCTAAAAAATATTAAGAGCTAAGTCTCTAAAACTGTAGTACAATGAAAAACCTATAGCTTAAAATCTCTCTTCCCCACATACAATTTGAAATATCAGTTATGTACAACAAATGTACTCAAGTTTATAATGTTCCAAAGCCTTTATTCTAGAAACCCCCCCACCGCCCCCATAAAGGCCTATAATTGGTTTAATTGCACCCTGGGAATACTGTCTGCCATAAAAATCAATATGTTTCAGAGCTGACAGGAATTTAAAAACAAGTGTCCCAGAAAGGGAATATCAGAGGTGAAATATAGGGTTTGCGGTTGGAGCTCAAGTGGTTTAAGGCGTTTGTTATTCTTTTATTAAATTTCTCATTTTGCTCTAACATGCGACATGGCGAACAGCAATATAAAAAAAATCTTATAAAAATATTGCAGCTTTCAGTAAATTATGAGAAGCACAGATAACCACCGGAGAAGAAAGCAATCACTTGCGGTATAACAAACTCAATGGCAAATACCATAGCTTATCTGGGAGACAGTGGATCTCTCCAAGCACCAAAGGTGCTCAAAAGGTGCTTCAAAAAGATGGTTATGTTATATCTCAAGAATCCAGTTCAGGATGTGGTTTAGAGAGCAAGATGCAAAGCAATAAATTTTCCATATATATCAGAGTAAGAAAATTAACCTAAAAAATTTTTTTAAAAGACAGAATATTTGATCTCTTAACAGATGAATACTAAATAATTAAATTGATATTCATTTAAAAATATACAAACTGTGCCCTTTATACTAAAGTGCGTTCAGTCCTAATGATTAGGCCCCTAAATCCTTTCTGTATGTTGCCTAATTCCATAATTGAATTTTTAGTGTAATAATAATTGAATTGTTAATCATCTATCTATTTTCATATTGCCTTTTGGGAATACAGTGGAATGTGGACTATATCAGTTGGAAAATCCCCAATCCCCATAAAACCTTAAAGCACTTAATGTGTATCATCATGGCTAAAATAGAGGATTTAGGTAATTTTATCTCTAGCATTTAGAGATAAGCTGCAGTAT